AGGCAGTGCAGCTCCTCAGTTCAGCTTCCTCTGCCTTTTTCTGAGATGGTGCCTAGAATTTGCTATATAAATCAGGTAAACTAAGCTGGCTTCAACTCAGAAATCTGCCTGCCTTCGCCTCCTAAGCACTGGGGTTAAAGGTATGTGCCACTACCACCTAGCTAGTATAGCACTTAACCACTATGGCACATTATTTTTCTAGAAAGCTGGAGATGCAAGAATACAAATTTTAAAAAGATACATTTTTCTTTTCAAATGAAACAAGATTTTCAATAAAAAACAAACAAACAAGTCAATGTGCAAAACTGAGTACTCTTGGTGGGAGAATATAATGTTTTTTTTTTTTGTTTTTTGTTTTTTGTTTTAAATAGTAATGTGGCATTTTGAATGAGAATAGCCTCCAGAAGCTAGCTCATATATTTGAATGTTTGGTCACTCACTAGTTTGTGAAACTGTTTGGGGAGGACTAGGAGGTGTGGTCTTGTTAGAGGTGTATTACTGGGAGTGGGCTTTGAGGTTTCAAAAACCTTCAACCTTCCCAGCTAGCGCTCTCTGCCTACTATTTGTGGATCAGATGTGAACCCCAGCACCATGCCTGACCACCTGCACTCTCTGACCCTCTGAAACTGCAAGCTCAACACCCTTTCTTCTCTAAGCTCCACTGGTCATAGTGTCTCATCACAGCAACAGAAAAGTAATAAGACAAGTAGTAAGCACAAAACCTTTTTCAGAAACAGTCTGAAAACAGTTCAGAAAAAAAATTCCAGCAAAAGGTGTCGAGTGATCAAGTTGTTTCTAACATAAATTATCTTTTAAAAAATGACAGCAGAGGCAGGCAGATCTGTGAGTCTGAGGCCAGCCTGGTCTACAGACAGAGTTCCAGGGCAGCGAGAGACACAGAGACTCTGTCTTGAAAACCAAAACCAAACCAAACCAAACAAACAAACAAACAAAAAAAGAGAGAGCAGGTAAACCATACAGTTCCTGTTTTCTTTCTCTCTCTTACAAAGACTTACTATTTATGTGTGTGTATGTGTGCCTACATGAATTTCTGTGTGCCACATGTGTGCAGGTGCCCCAGGAAGTAAGAGGATGTCAGATCCCCTGGAATTCAGTTACAGTCAGTTGCCAACAGCCTGGTGTGGGTGCTAGTAATCAAATCCAGGCCTTTAAAAGAACAATTAACATCCTTAAGTTCTTAACTGCTAGCTAATCTCCAGTCCCATTTTCCTTCTCTCCACTTCTAGATGTCAACAAGGAACACCAGAAGATGCCCACTTCATCCCTCCCATGCTGATTGTTTGGCTGGAACCTCCAGCTTGCTCCTGCCGAGTCTGAGAAGACCCATTCCCATCTCTCCAAACTCTGCCCACTCAGAGAGTCTCTGAACAAAGGGAAGGCACCAAAAAGCCCAGCTCTACATTCTCGGTGGCCACAGCAGCTCCTCTCCTGAAGTTGCCTGCAGCCTAAGTCCCCCACCTACACACTCAGTTTTTAACCATACTTGGGCACAAACCCAGCCTGTGGAGGACAAATCATCACCCCTCACCTACCGCTATATAATCTCCCTGCTTTAGTTCAGGCGTGTGGCTTCTCCGGCCTCCATCTCTGGGACTGGAGAACTCACCAGGAAGTTGCTTTGCTCAAATAAACCTGTTATACTTTTTCAGTTCGGCTTGATCTAGCTTACTGTGCTGGCAGAGAGATCTATTATCGTGCTACAGAAAACCTATTAGTAACTTCTATGTGGCTGCTTCCCTTTGTTTTATAATTTAATCAGCTCAGGTCAAGCTTCCTCTGAAAGCCTGTTTCCGAAGCACTAACATCACTACTTAGGTGGCCAATTCACTCCTCTTCTCTTCTCTTTTATTTTTGGTTTTTCAAGTCAAAGTTTCTCTGTGTAGCCTTGGCTGTCCTAGCTCTGTAGACCAGGCTGGCCTCGAACTCACAGAGATCTGCCTGTCTTTTCTCCTGAGTCCTGGGACTAGAGGGATGTGCCATCACACAAGGCTTTAAGTCTTTTCTGTATCTGCCCTTTAGCCTTTTTCTCAACAGGTCCATGTCAAGAGTAAAGGTGACAATGTGTAAGCTTTTCTGCTTTATTCATTTATTCCAAACATTTGTTTTTAGCAGTGCTAATTATAATCTGACAAAAGCGTTGCTTCTGGAATTTAATTCCCCACAGCCTATGGTTTATTATCCACAGCATACACATTAATAATATAAATTATTTAAAGGAAAAATAAAGGCCACGTTATAGCTTTTCTAACACTTTAGTCATCCATATCTGCTTAGGCGTTCCATTATAAAGACAAACAGAATCAAACATGAAGCTATAAAAAAGTCTGTTACTAAACCACTATGTAAAAACACTGAGCGTGTATCATGAATGGCAATATGTAAGGAGATGCAGCCTTCTGTTTTTAAAAAGCACAGCAGGGGCAACTCATTTTCCAATCCCCTCCCAGCTGCAGGGAGCTGTTTCTTTTCTTCTCAATACACACTGCTTGCTTGCCCTTAAAACCAAACCAACAAAACCTCAGTAGATTTGTTTTCACTCGAAGAGTTTTCATTTCTGCACCCAGAACTTCCTGTGTTGTTTTTTTCTCCCCGGTACTACAGAACCCTGAGGCCTTGTTTATACTTCCAGTCCACTCCTCCACCCCTTTTAAGACTGTGGTGGGTTTTGGTCCTTTTTCTTTTTTGGAGTTAGGGTTTCAATCTATAGCCTAGACTGGTCTTGAACTCAAGACAGTTTCCTGCCCCGGTCATCAAGTGCTGGGATTATAGGCATGGTCTATCATGCCTTGCTAAGCACTCTCAACTTTACTGTAACCCTTGGTTTCTTTTTCAGCGCCAACCCCCCTGCCCCTGGTTTTGGTTTTTCGAGACAGGGGTTCTCTGTGTAGCCCTGGCTGTCCTCCTGGAACTCTCTCTGTAGATCAGGCTGGCCTTGAACTCACAGAGATCCACCTGCCTCTGCTTCCTGAGTGCTGGGATCAAAGGTGTGCGCCACCATGCCTGGACACCCTTGGTTTCTGACTATGACAAAGCAATTAAATATTGGAAGAGGTGAAACGGGTCCTGTCTTCACAACCACAGGCTGCTCAGAGAACAGTGCTTTCCTAACCTCCAGGGGAGGAAGGAGCTCAGTAAGCCATGGCTACATTTCACTGAGGGAGGAACTTAGGAATCGTCCATACTGTATGGAAGGGGTGTAAGCAGAAATTAAGGCCAGCAGAATGTAAAACTGGAATACATTTCATCCGCGTTCTGAATCCTAGTACTTCCAGCACTTTGGAGACAAAGGCAGGTGGATCTCTATCTGAGGCGAGCCAGAGGTACACAGTGTGACACTGTCTCCAAAACAGAACAAACCCTGCAAACCTTCCTTACTATAGAGAGGTTACAAAGGTCACACCACAACAGGCCTGAGGCAACTGTTTCTTTCCTTTCCCTGCCTCCTCACTTTTTCCCTTTATGAAGGAGGGTCTCCCGCAACTCAGGCCGGCCTTGAACTCTCTATGAAGCTGAGGATGACCTGAATGTCTGATCCTCTTGCTTGTATCTACCAAGGACTGGGAGATACAATAGGCATTCAACACTATGTCCATGGAGGCAATTATTTCTTACATTGTACCGTGTCCTGAACACAAGGAATTGTGAACAGGCCCACCATAATACAGCATTAAACACAGCATGCCAAGGAACAAAGACAGTTTTGCCAGGAGTGAGTGCAAAACCAAGGTACCTCAAGGTATCTCTCACACATGCTCATGGTCCTCATCTTGCTGGAAAGAGAACTTGACTGGCTGAGGAGAAAAGTGACCCTCCAATGCTTCAAAGGCCAAGAAAGTGTTAAGGTGGGGTCGGGCTTGGATTTCTCCTTCCTCCACCGTCTCCACCACTCCAGCCCTAACTCCAGCCCTAGAAGAAGCCACAAGTGAGGAAGAGAAGTTGTGGAAACCAGACGGGGGTTGGTGGTGGTTAGGTGGGCGTGTGTGGAGTGAGATGGGGTACCCAGGAGCATGGACAGTTGTCTCACACAAGGTCACTTGCTCGGCGTCCCTTTCCCCTGCTCCCTTATGGGCTTCCCGCCAAAGATGCTCCGCGGCAGGCTCGGAGGCCAGCCCGCCGCACCCCCTCGGCCTCGGCATGCGGACCGCAGCCCCCTGCCAGCCTCCCGGCCCGGACGAGCCCCCAGGACACCGGTTTTCGGGGCGGACACCGCTGGCAGCCAGGTCCCAGGGCTCCTCCGCCTCCGTCCCCCGGGGCTCCGTCAACGTCCCCTTCCTCCCTCAGGGCGCCCCTGTGCCCGCCTCCCGTTCGCAGTCCCTCCCGGGGGGCCCGGCACGCCGTTCCTCTCCGGCCCCCTCTCGCAGGCGAGGTGGCCGCGGTGCCCACCGGGCGCCCCCGCCGCGGCCCGGTTCCCCGGAGCCACGGCCTCCTCCCCAGCCCGCCCGGCCCCGCCCCTGCTCCCGGGCGGATACAGTTTGAAGCCTCTCAGGATATCCCTGGCCCGCTCGTCCTTGGCTGACATGATGCGGCGCCTGCCGCCTGCGGCCCTCCCACGCTGGCTCGGCGGGGCCTCGCAGACGGTACCCAGGAACCGAGACGGAGCCGCTGCCCGGCCGGACACCTCAGGCAAGCAGCGGTGGCGGCCAGACCCGAACCGGCCTCTCCCTCCCCTCGGCTCCCGCTCCTGATCCCTTCTCCTTCCCTCTAGTCGCGGAGCTCCCGCCCTGAAACCAATGGCAAGCCAGCCTCGGCGATTGGCATTCCGAAGAGCCAATAGCAACGCTCAGCGGCTTCGCTCGGGGACGGAGAGCGTCAGTGGGAAAGGCCCTCCCGGAGGAGTCCCGGAGGGCAGAATTTTGTTCGTGTGGTTGCCTAGAGTTTGTCCCAGCGGAGCGGTGGCTTGAAACCCTCAGAAGCTTGAGGCACCTACTCCGGTCGCCGGGTGCACTGGCGGTCTGAGACTGTGGCAGGCTGCTCTGTGCAAGGTGGCAGAAACTACATTTCCCAGTCTCCCAGGGAGTAGGCTATCCCAGCTCGCCGCTAGAAGCCAGGGACTACAAATCCCAGTACAATCTGCGCTCGGTCTTTCTAACTTAGGCTCCAGTGTGCCGCGCAGTGTGCGCAAATTTGGAATCGTTCTGTAGGGTTGCTTTCTGAATCCGGTTGGTTTCTTGAAACCTGGCTGGAAGGTCCTCTTTCTCCCTGGAGACATGACAGCCCACCGACAGTTAACTTCTGTTTACAAGGAACTCAGAAGTCTGCAAACCATGGTAAGACTGCAAACAACTAACAAACCACAGATTGAGCCTTGGAAGATAATAGAACAAAATGACTTCCTCAAATAGTGCTAGTTTATTAGTCCGAGGTGCATTTTTACTTGTTTTGCAGGGTTTATGTTGTGTTTCTGCTTCGGACTGGGAGAGATAAGGATTGTATACTCAATGTCAGTATAGGAAGACTTAAAAGAGTTTGCCAACCCGATCACTTTGTAATCTTTAATTTTTTAAATATGAAGAAATTGAGGACCGGAGAGGCAGACTGGCCGCAGATCACAGCAAGTTGAGAAAGTTAGAATTTGGCTTTAAGTCTACTGACCTGTAGTCTAGTCTCTTTGCACTACACTGGGTAGGCGATATTTTTTTTTTGTTTTGTTTTGTTTTTGTTTTTTTTTTTCGAGACATGGTTTCTCTGTGTAGCTTTGCGCCTTTCCTGGAACTCACTCTGTAGCCCAGGCTGGCCTCGAACTCACAGAGATCCTCCTGACTCTGCCTCCCGAGTGCTGGGATTAAAGGCGTGCGCCACCACCGCCCGGCAGTAGGCGATATTTTTAGCAGCATGACAATGTGATTGTTTTTCCCCTTAATGAACAGTTTTCCCAACTAGTGTTGAAACACTCAGAATAGGTAAGTATTTATTTGGTGGATTTCCTGAAAGGAGCTATAGTGTGAGAGTGTGATATTCTCAGTCTAGATACGTCTTGCTATTTTGACTTGATTTTTTTGCCATTCAATTTGACATTTAATATAATTTTCTGAGAAAGTAGGGAAAGTTGTTTTAACCCTCTGTTTCTTTAAAGACGCCCATGTCCTTCTGTAGGCTTTCCCATTCCTATTCCTATTATACCCATTTGAACACCAACCCATTTTTTTTTTCCTTTTAAGTAATTCAGCAAACTTTCTTTTTCTTTTTCTTTCTTTTTTTTTTTTGGTTCAGGTACTGAGTTAAGGGAAAGGTATGTCACTGTCATTTGGAAGATACATAACTGTTTAGGGAGATAAGGAGATTCAAGATGGAGTTGATAAGTGGCACAAAAGAAAAGACATTAGAGCCTTACTTCTTGGCTGTTAGGTTAAGATAAAGTGGAGAACACCTTAGAGGTGCTGATGAAGTGGAAATGGCATTTTAACTTAAAGCAGTGGTTCTCAACCTGTGCATCTCAGCCCTTTGGCAAACCTCTATTTCCAACAGTGGCAAAATTACAGTTATGAACTAGCAATGAAAATAATTCTATGGTTAGGGGTCACTACAGCGTGAAGCACTCGGAAGATTGAGAACCACTGACTTAAAGGATGAGGGTTTTTCCCTCATGTTACATTTTTAAAATCCTGAGTTATCTTTGTTACAGAGCTGTGCCATACATTCTGTGAGAGAAGATATATATATATATATACCCATCAATATCACTCAAATCAAGATGTAGAACATTTCCAGCACTCATTATGGTCTTTCCCAATCAGTACTGAATCCTCATATCTGGAGGTAATCAACCACTCTCTTGGTTTTATGGCTCCTAGATATTTTGTCTGTATTTGAATTTGTATGTAGATTTCACTTAAATGTGATTATACTGTGTGTATAATATATGTCTGGCTTTCTTGTTAATCAGTATTTTTGTGTTTGTACCATTTTTTTTTCAGTTGGTAAGTTGTATGTATAAACCAGAGTTAATATCTTCTGAAATTGATGAACATCTGAGTTTTATCATTGACAGGGAAACATTCTGAAGTGAGCATTCTTGTATGCTTCTTTTTGTGGACATGTTGCATAGATTTTAGGGGGAAAAGTTGTTAATCTTGTAGATTAACATATGGTCAGTGGTAGTAGATATCGCTAGTTTTCCAAAGTGATTGTAGAACTGAGGCTTTTGCCCACTCTGTAGGAATGCTCCTGTTGGTGTTTGTTCTTGTTAACACCGGGTGTTTGCCATAAGTCTTTTTAATTTTAGCCATTCTGGCTAAATGTGATATTTTGTTAAAGTATGCATTTCTATTTTTCGCATGCTGACCATCTTAATTGCCTATTCAAATGGTGTTTTTGTCAAATGCTTAAGGCTTTTGATCACTTTTTATAATTAGGCATTTGTCTTCCTACTGATTTGTAGGTTTTTTTTTTTTTTCTTCCAGAGACAGGGTTTCTCTGTGTAATAGTCCTGGCTGTCCTGGAACTTGCTTTGTAGACCAGGCTGGCCTCGAACTCACTGAGATCCGCCTGCCTCTGCCTCTCAAGTGCTGGGATCAAAGGCGTGCGCCACCACCGCCTGGCTGATTTGTAGTTCTTTATGTAGTCTTGTAGATTTCTTTTCCTGACATATACTTTGCAAATATCTTTTCCAAGAATGTGTCTTCATTCTCTTACTATAAAATAAAGAAATATAAATTATCTCTTTTTGTATTAGTGTTGGGGATTGAACCCATGATCTTTCCTGTGCGAGGCAAGAGCTTTACTACTCACTTACATCCCATCCTTAGTACAGATTTTAAAAAGTGTTTTGGATTTATTTATTTTTATTTTATGTGTGGGATGGAGAGGTAGATGGCTCAGCCATTAAAGTCTAGGCTTACAGCCAAAAATATTTATTTTATGTGTATGAGTGTTTTGCTTGCATGTGGGTATGTGCACCATATGTGTGGTTGTTCTCCTTGGAGGTCAGAAGAGGGTGTCAGGTCCCTTGGAACTGGAGTTATGGATGGCTGTAAACTGCCATGTGCGTGGTGGGAACTGAACCTGGGTGGAGCAATGAGGGCTCCTAACTACTGCACCATCTCTCCAGTCCCATTTTATTTTTTTAGAGAAAGAAAAAGTTATTAAGTACATTGTAAGGGAGCAGCAGGCCAGCAATAACGGAGTGCTGCCTATAGCCAGACGTGATTAATATAATAGAGTAGTTTAAGTTTGCTCTTTCCATTGAATTTAAGAAACATTGAGTATATGGTTAATAGAATGTTTACAGGAAAATAGGAGAGAAAGACATTGTAAAAATAAAAAAGTAAGACTGGGAGGAGGGGACTAGAGAGGCCGCCTGCTTCCTGAGTGCTGGGATTAAAGCCACGTGCCACCATGCCTGGTGCCTTCCATGTCTTAAAGGCAAAAAAGACAAACCAGCCAACCAGACAAACAAACTCAAATATCTAGTTTTTCTTCCCCAATCTATTCTTTTCTATGCTTCCAATCTTTCTCATGGCGCTTGATAGACTGGAGCTCTTTGTGGACAGTTTGTTTTTGGGATCATGTGATCATATAACCTTCTGTAATTCCTGCTAGAACACAATAGATAATTAAATTTATTTATTTTATGTGTGTGCATGCTTTGCCTGCATGTATGACTGTGCACCATGTACATGCCTGGTGTCCATAGAGACCCGAAGAGGGCACCAGATCCTCTGGAACTGGAGTTACAGATGGTTGTGAGCTGCTACGTGAGTGTTGGGAATTGAACCTGGGTCCTCTAGAAGAGCAGCCAGTGCTCTGACTACAGCACCTAGATGTTAATTTAAAAAAAGAATGAATTGGTTGGTGTTGGCCTCCTTCATTCCCCTCCTTTCTGATGTGTGTATTCTAATGTATAATAGGTAGAAAGGACTTTTCATATCTTCAGGATCTGAAAATCTGTGTCATACTCTGAAGAAATCTGTTGAACTATTTAATTTCATAGTAGCTCTTGGCTATCTTCTCAGGGTGCCAAATGTAATGCCATGAAAGACATTTTGCTTGTAGAACCATTCATTGTTGGCCCAACTCAACTGCTTAGAATTTATTTTTACTTTTTAATTTTTTTATGTGTATGGGTGTTTTGCCTGCATCCATGTCTGTGTACTACATGTGTACAGAGCCTGAAAGTCAGAGAGGGTGTTGGATCCCTTGGAACTGGAGTTACAGACAGTTGAAAACCACCATGTGGATGCTGGGAATTGAACTTGGGTCCTTTGGAAGAGCAGCCAATGCTCTTAACCTCTGAACCACCACTCTGGCACCCATCAACTGCTTAAAAATTTAAAGACTTATTTATTTTTAATGTGCATGTGTGTGCTTGAGTGTAGAATGCGCACCATGTGAACGCAGTGTACGAGGAAGCCAAAGAGGGCATTGGATTTCTCTGGAACTGGACTTCAGGTGGGTGTGAGCTGCCGTGTGGGTGTGAGCTGCCACGTGGGTGCTGAGAACCCAACCTGAGTCCTCCGCAGCAGCAAAGGCTCTTAACCGCTGAGCCATCTGCTTATTTGTAAACAGTTTCAGAATAGAGGTTAAGAACATCGTCCTTGCTTCCATGAGCCTGGATTCCAACATTGCCACTTACTGACTTGAACTGTTAGCCCTAGTTAGCATATCGGAAAATGAGAATATTTTATACAGATCATAGTTTTATGAGAACCTGGCAAGATAAATATGGACATCTGTCAAATAGAAAAATAGTTAAATAAATAGTGTGTCAGAACGCCAGGGTAGCCGCAGTTGCCTGAGGGCTCACCTGTAAAGAAAATTCAGCCAAAGGGATGCAAAATTTTTGGCCCAGGGTAGTGATGATGACAGCTACTGTAGAAGCCCTAGAATTACCGAGGCCACATTCCTCTCCTCGGGCGCTATGTTTTACCTGCCTTTCCTCCCAGTTCTGGGGCTGCAGCTGGGCAGGGACCCTCTTCTCCCTCTTCAGCCTCACGATAGGTGGGAGGTTGTGAAAGCCTAGCGGGAACATTGTGTAGGCGGAACTCGAGTGCAGCGGTGGGAGGCTTCCGGGGGAACAGCACCGGTGACGGGTCGGCGGAGACAGAAAAGCGCCGGACGCCCGGCCGATCATGGAAGCTTGACAACCTGCAGGCAGGCTCTGGGAGGCCGAGACATCGGCGAAGAGGACAGAGAGTCGGCGCAGACAGGTAGGGGACGGCAAGAGGGCAGGCCCCACTGGTCTTGGCTGGACCTCCAGCTTCGCTCCCGCAGGCTTTCCCAAGAAAGCCGATGGCCACGCCGCCCCGCCCCCGTTGCAGAACGCCGGGAGGTCTTCACTGTGTGCTGGTGGCTAGGAGCAAGCCCATCAGTCCTGACGTCCATTCTAGCTTGCGACTGTCATCTTCCACGCGGTAGCTGCCCTCGATGCGCTCCCTCCCACAGAGGCTGTTTCCTTTGGCCCTTTTGGCGCTTCAGAATAGCGTCTTCCTGAGACCGGCATTCATCTCCACTCCGTCCCTATCCGCCTCCTCGAGGAGCCTCCCACTTCAGAAGAAAAACGTCGATCATCATCTTATTCCATCTAGGGTATCCCCACAGACTTTGCTCTTGAGATTGAGATCTTCCAGAGGCACCTCAGTTTCTTCCCGTCTCCAACACCCCTCTCACCCTGCTCCTTCCACTTAGTCTCTTGGCTGAGAGGCCCACCTGTCTTTTCAGTTGTGTGTGTTTGCGGGGTGGGGAGGGACCAGGTTTTGTTCCTCATTTTCTTTTTCTTTTTGGCTTTTTCGAGACAGGGTTTCTCTGTGTGCTTTGTGCCTTTCCTGGAACTCCCTCTATAGTCCAGGCTGGCCTCGAACTCACAGAGATCCTCCTGCTTCTGCCTCCCGAGTGCTGGGATTAAAGGCATGCATCACTACTGCCCGGCTGTTCCTCATTTTCTAACTTAGTCTTCTCCTCACCTATCTTCCTCGCCTTCTCCTTTTCTTTCCTCAGCTTTCCTTTTTCCTCCCCAGGACTTTGTTTTCTAGTCTCAGTCTCTCTCTCTCTCTCTCTCTCTCTCTCTCTCTCTCTCTCTCTCTCTCTCTCTCTCTCTCTCTCTTCTCTCCTCTGTCTTCTCTCTCTCTCTCTCTCTCTCTCCCTCTCTCCTTTCTCTCTCTCTCCTCTCTCTCTCTCTCTCCTCTCTCTCGATGGTTTCTCTGTGTAGTTTTGGTGCCTGTCCTGTATCTTGCTCTGTAGACCAGACTGGCCTTGAACTCACAGAGATCCGCCTGGCTCTGCCTCCCGAGTGCTGGGATTAAAGGCATGCGCCACCAACGCCAGGTCACTTTTTTGTTTGTGACAGGATCTTCTTAGGTAACCCTAAGTGAGACAACATACTTACTTTTCCTAATATCCTGAAAGGGCTGGTCTTTGACTTTTTTTTCTTCATTTGCACAGGCACACACAAACACACACACCTTTTTTTTCTTTGTCACACTCTTCAGTGTGTATTATTTCTGGAAGAAAATTTTATGTGGGATTTCTTTAGTGCCCATACACACTCATCATATCTTTATTACACAATTGTTGAACTCTTCTGTACCTAATATCTTGACTATGACAATACAATATCTGCATTGGGGGTAGTAGAGATGATTCAGCTGTTAAGAGCATTGGCTGGCTGGGCAGTTGTGGCATACACCTTTAATTCCAGCACTCAGGAAGCAGAGGAAGATGGATCTCTGTGAGTTTGAGGCCAGTCTGGTCTACAAAGCGAGTTCCAGGACAGCCAGGGCTACACAGAGAAACCCTGTCTCGAGACAGAAAAAAAGGAGTACTGGCTGCTCCTCCAAAGGACCTGTAACTCCAGCCTCTGGGGATTTGGTGCTCTCTTCTGGCTTCTGTGGACACCAGGCATGAACATGGTGTACATTCATACGTGCAGACAAAATGCTCTCATAGAAAAAAAATTAATTAAAAGGCAATATCTGCATTGTTCCTTCATATCCTATTAAGATTTTGTACAAGTTCTGGAGTCATGTTTGTTAAAATGTCTGTATCAGCAGGAGGCCAAATAGATACATTTTCTGACTTAAAGAGAATGTATTTTCTAGATTTGAATTGCCCTTTTCTCTCTGTCTGTCTCTGTCTGTCTGTCTCTGTCTCTGTCTCTCTCTCTTTCTCTTTCTCTGTCTCTTTGAGACAGGGTATCCCTGGCTGTCCTGGAAGTAGCTCTTTAGACCAGGCTCACCTCAAACTCACAGAGATCTGACTGCCAATGTCTCTCAAGTGCTGGGATTAAAGGCATGCACCACCACTGCCTGGTTAGATTTGAATTATCATTGCTTAATTTTGTAATTACTTTTCCCACTTTCCTATGCTAAAATGACTTTTTTTTTTTCTGTTGCTGGGCAACCCCATGCCTTGTATGGTATTCTAAGCATCGATTTATTGTGGAGCCCTTAAAATGGGGTTTTTGATTAAATGAAGTGTGGCTCTTGTCTTCTCTTTGTTTGTGATATGTGCCTGGCTGTAGGTGGAATTTTTAAAAAATAATTTATTTAACCTTATATGCAATGGTGTGAGGGTGTCAGATTCTCTGGAACCGAATTACAGACAGGTGTGAGCTGCCATGTGGGTGCTGGGAATTGAACCTGGGTCCTCTGGAAGGGCAACCACTGCTCTTAAATGCTAAGCCATCTCTCCAGCCCCTGTAGGTAGGATTCTAATGATACAAAAATTGCCTCTGTGCATAGGCAGTATTCTCTCTCTCTTAACCAGAGCCTAGAAATGAGGTAGATACAAAACTGTGCAGGCCCAAATTACTCAGGGTCAGAGAATCTGAGCTTGCTTTACCTAGCAGGGCTACATAAGGAGATGATTTGGCCATGGGTGTGGTTACCAGGTGTTTGGAAGGGTCTACACTTGGCTGTGCGGTGTGCTTTGATCTTGCAAGGGGGAGGTCTTTTGCCCCATCCCTTGGCTTTGTTATAAAAATCCCTTTTGATTAAACGGAAAAGGCCATTGGGTAGTGATCTAGACCCTCCTGTAACTATCTTGTGTTTCTGTCTTTCTTCTCGTTAGATAGGTCTCTCTTTCTATCTGATATTTTCTTATCCCTCTCTCATAAGAACCCTTCAAAAGGTGGGAGCTGACCTCCCACACAAAACGTATGTAAAGAAACTTCCCTGTGTCGTGGTCAGCTTTATGGACTTAGAAGATGATGCTTCTGAGGGTACAGATAGGAAAGTGTCTTTTAGAAGATGTGTTTCAGAACACCTTCAGAATTGAGGACAGAATATCTTGAACTCCAGAGTGAAGTTTGCCCAGCTCACAAAGTGGAATTGTATCTAGATTCAGGGACTGTTTTATGAAGAGCTGTGAAATTAAAGTGTTCTTGTAGCCAGGAGTGGTTGCGCACACCTTTGATCCCAGCACTCAGGAGGCAGAGGCAGGCGGATCTCTGTGAGTTCGAGGCTAGCCTGGTCTACAGAGCTAATTCCAGGACAGGCTCCAAAGCTACACAGAGAAACCCTGTCTCGAAAAAAAACAAAAACAAACCAAAAGTGTCCTTTTGTCTGATCCAGCCTTACCTCTACACTGTGGAGAGGAGAAGGTGGTAGAATGACCAGCCCACTTTCCTTTTGGACAGATCTCAAGACCGGAGAATGGCAGGTGAACAGAAGCCCTCCAGCAACCTCCTGGAGCAGTTTATTTTGTTAGCCAAAGGCACCAGTGGCTCAGCCCTCACCACTCTCATAAGCCAGGTTCTGGAGGCTCCTGGAGTATATGTGTTTGGAGAACTGCTGGAGTTGGCCAATGTTCAGGAGGTAAGAATGTTTTCAGACAGTTTCTGTCTTCTCTATGCTATAGTTTTCTGATTCTCCAGGTTTCCGGCAAATTTCAGCATTGACTGTGGACTTGTTTGGTACCCTGTTAATTGGAATTGGTGGGGAGGAGATCAAGGATAATGTTTTAGAGTCTTTATCCAGTGTTCCCTTAAACTTGGATAAAATCAGATTGTGTTGTTGGTTGTCTGAAAGACAGTAAGGAGGTCCAAATGATGTCGACACAAGCAGTGCTGTTTCATTGTTGTAGTTGGTTTTGGTCATTGTACATTAAAAATGAGGCTTGTTGAAGAATAAAGGGATGTAAATCAATTTATGCTTCCCAGCCTCTATTTCTTTCTTTAGACAGTTTTTGTTGTTGTTTTTATTTGTTCTTTTGAGAAAATTGCAGATATATTTGTGCATTGGAGGAGCTCTCAGGAGATGTCAGTGTGTTGGTGGGGCAGGCTTTGTGCCCTCTGCCATCACAGGCTTCTGCCTGTATAGGATGGCACTGACTGTGTGCATGACCACTGTCTGCTGACCTAGACCAAAGTACTTCCTGTAGTCATTTGCTGGATGCAGCTGAGGGTGGCCCTGGTGTTCTTGGTGGTAGTGGTCTGCATATAGGATGTGTTGGCATTAGTTAGGTAGCTTACCTTCATGGCCACCATGACACCATTGCTATCTATTGTCAGCTTTATCTTAGAGCCAATTGTAATCTGAGGTGTGAGCCTTCAGGTTATTGGGCTCAGTACTATATGTCTGCTTATTTTTCTTGATCAGGAAACTAGAGTTACTGTGACTACCTCACAGGTGGCTCTTCTTCCTATGATGGCCAGAGATGAAAATGGAGCCACTTTTTTTTGGTTTGTTTTGAGACAGGATCTTGTCTGTGTTGAGGCCTTAAACCTTAGCATGTAGCTTGAGATGAGTTGAAATTCTAGTACTTCTGTTCTGGGATTATAGGCATGTACTACCATATCTGGTTTTATTTGGTGCTGAGGATTGAACCTAAGGCTTCATGCATGCATGGTAGGCAAGCACTGTACCAATGAGCCACATTCCCAGCCAGCCTGACTTTTATTTTGTTAATTGTAAGGGTTTTTTGTTTGATTGGTTCGTTTTTTTGTTTTTTGTTTTTTGTTTTTTGTTTTTGTTTTTTAAAGACAGGATTTCTTATTGTAATCCTGGCTGTCCTGGGTATCGCTTTGTAGATCAGGCTGACGTTAAACTCATAGAGATCTGCCTGCTTCTGCCTCCTGTGTGCTGGGACTAAAGGCGTGCATCACCACTGCCCGGTCCAATTGTGAGTTTTTTTTTTTTAATGTCACTTGCTTGTTATACTAAGGTCTGTGAGGGTAAAGTCTTTTGTGCTTACCATTGCTTCCTTGGGCTGAGTACGTCGCCTGATACATAGTAGACTTTCAGTAAAGATTCAATCAATAATTCTTTGAGGAAGATTTGAGAATTAGGCTTTTTGTTTTGGTTTAGTTTGGTTTTTTGAGATTGACTCTCATGTTTCCTAGGCTGCCCTTGATCCTGTTCCTCCTGTTTCCATCTACCAGGTGCTGGGATTGCAGGAGAGTGCCACTGTGTTTGGATAAGCTCATTTTCCAATAGAAAAGCTGACCAGCTGTAATTGTTTCTTCAGATTCATGAAAAACCTGAATGAGACCTTACAGACTTAGCGAGTCAGAGAAGTTTTGGAGTACCTGCATTAGAGAAAATAGTCTATTCCAGCTAGCTTTGTAATTGTATGAAAAGTAGGGGCTAGATTCAGTCTTCTTTACTGACTTCTTCCACTCTGAAATGGCAGCTTGAAGTGTAAGGGTGCTAGCACTCTCACACTGGTGCTTGCTGGGCCTTAGCAGACCACCTTCTCTGCCTACTGTTTCTGTTGTCCCTGTTTTGAGCCAGGAAGAAGCTAGTTGCTTTTCAGCATTCTGAAATTATGGATGTGATTATTGGAACTCCTTTTTAGGTAGCTAAGATAGACTGGTGTTGTTCCTGTTTTGCTTTATGGAATTTGGTAAGTTGGAAGAGGTGGTGAGTGTGTGTGTTACTGAGGACTCAGCCTGCGACATTCTGCATGCTAAGCAGGTGCTCTGCCGCCTAACTATGTCCAAGCCCTCCTTTTACTTTTATTTTGAGCTGGGGTCTTGCTAAGTTTCCTAAGCCTGTAGCTCAGGCTGGCCTTGAGCTTCTGATCTTATTCCTTTAGCTTTACAAGTAGCAGAGGTTACAGGCCTGTGCAAGGTGACTCAGCTGCTCTCTGCATTTTTTCCCATGGATATCATTTTGCCACCAACATAAGTGAAATAAATTAATGAACATTTTTATTTGGCTCAGGGTAATAACTCTGTTTCAATATAGCCTTTCTGTCACATGCAACACTGTGCTAATGTTGCCAGGGTTCATAGTTCATATTTTGTGCTGAAACTTAGAACTAGCCATACAGTTTGTTCAGATTTGATTGATAGTGGGTGTCACTGTACTAAGTTGGGGGCTGGCAAGATGGCTTATTGAGTAAAAGTGCCACATAAGCCTGATGACCTGAGTTTGATCTCTGAGAACCTTCATCAATGGTTCCCAAAGAAAATGGACTCCATAAAGTTGTTCTGTGAGCTTATGCATGTGCACGGCATACATGACCACACATACATACAATACCCACATCATGCACAACAACAAAAGAAATACACAAGTTGGTATGTGGACAGGATTACCACACTCTTGTTTTTCATTTGAGACAGGTTCTCATTTGCAAGTAATCCAGGCTGGCTTTGAACTCAGTAAGTAGCTGAGGATGATGTTGAACTTTTGATCCTCCTGTGTCCACCTGCTGAGGAAGTGCAGGCCTGTGCCACCATGCCCAGTTTCTGCAGTGTGGATTGAACCTAGCTCTGTGTGCATATTAGGCCAGACTCTCCTAGCCTTCAGTATTTGTTTTAAGGCAGAGGAGATCCTGAGAAGACTTGAACTGCCGCTAGTGCACAAAGCTTTGTGGTGGAGTAGCTGGCAAGGGGGCAGGGAAAGGAGGAAGAAGAAGAAGCTACTTGAACATCTTATATGTTGTGCAAAATGTCTTCCTGAGGAAGGAAGAAGAGTCACTTTTGGACTTAAATAATCTTGTTTAGTTTTTCTCCAAGAATCAGAAGTGGAAAGGACCTTAGGAACCACCTAATCAAATAGTACAGAAGAAATGGCCATGACATCTTTGGCGTTTGGTCACATGTCCTGTATCAGAATATTGAAGTGATTAGTGGAGATTTATTGTGTGGTGAACTTTCCTGTCCTTCTTCAGCTTGCAGAAGGAGCCAGTGCTGCGTATTTGCGGCTGCTGAACCTGTTTGCCTACGGAACATACCCGGATTACATAGGTGAGTTGGAGAAGATCCTTCAGAAGATCTTAAGAAGACTGTCTGAACTTTGAGCTGTTCGCAGGGTGTGGGCAGGGTAGGCAGGTCTAATTATTGACTTGACTGTATCTCTGTCTTCTGTGCTCTGAAGGTAATTTAATTTCATGGAAGGATTTCCCTGATAACCTTTTAATGTCCTAGGCATAAAATGGGTTTTGTGTGTGTGTGCATCTGTGAACAGAGCCCTTGTTTATTTCCCAGATCAGCATCTTGAGAACTAGTGTTTGTAGGACACTCACCTAGCAAAATAATCCAGTGTTTTGTTTTTTTTGAGACAATCTTACTATGTAGCCCTGGCTGGCATGGAACTCACTGTGCAAAACAGGCTGGGCTTGAGCTCACAGAGATGTACCTACCTCTGCCTCCTGAGTGCTGAAACTAAAGGCGTGCTTCCTCACACCTGGCAGTTCAGTGTTTTAAATGTCATCAACATTTTTGAGGGGTGCTGGTGAGAGAGCTCGGCAGGTAAAGACAACTGCTACGAAGCCTGATGATGGCTTGAATTCAATCCCTGGGACTCTTAGTGAAAAGAGAACTGACCCCTGTACTCGCACACACTTTTTTTAATTCTTATTTTGCTTTATTTGTTTTTTGAGATAGGGTTATGTATAACATAGGCTGGTCTTGAACTCAGAATATTCCTGCTTCATTCTCTTGTGTGCTGAGATTATAAGGATGAACCACCTTGCCCAACCTGATTGTTACCAAAATAAGATTACTATATTGAGGAGAATTTGAAAAATAATAAAACATTATAGACCATGAAGTTACCATTAGCATTTTTTTCTAATACTAGGTGTTTTTTCCCCTTATGCTTGTTTTGTGTTATATGGGTATAATTAGCTGTGTATGCAGTCTCATACTTTGCCTTTCCCAGGGCTTTGCCCAATCCATATGTAAGATAATTTTTTTTTTTAAGTCAGAGTATTGCTGTGTTGCTCAGGCTGACTTCTAACTCTGGATCCTCCTGCCTCAACCTCCCAATTTCTTATATTACAGATATGTGCCATCATGTCTACTTTCATTTTTACTATTTCATAATAAACCACTGTACCACTGAGCTACATTTTTAGCCCATTTGAATGTTTTTATTTTCACTTTTTTTTTGGTAAATTTTTTCATACAATTTTTTTTTCAAGACAGGGTTTCTCTGTGTAGTTTTGGTGCCTGTCCTGGATTTTGCTCTGTAGACCAGGCTGGCCTTGAACTCACAGAGATCTGCCTGGCTCTGCCTCCCAAGTGCTGGGATTAAAGATGTACACCACAGCCTCCTGGCCATACAATATATTTAATCATATTTTTCCCTACTAACTCCTCCCAGATCCTTCCTACCTCCCTATCCACCCAACTTCATGATTTTTTTCTCTCTCTTGAAAATAAAAAAAATAAAAACCAAAGTAAAAACAATAAAACAAAAAATAAAAAGTAAAACAAAACAAAAACAAAGCCAAAGGCTCTCATCAAAACCATGGTGTTCATTCTGTGTTGCCTCACACTCCTGGGCACGGAACCTGCCCTGGAGTACCGGTGCTGTACTCAGTACACGCCATTGGAGAAAACTGATTTCCCCTTCCCCAGCAGGTGTCAGTCACAAATAGCTTCTTGGTTAGGGGTGGGACCTTGTGTCTGTCTTCCCTCTCAGTGTTGGGATTGTGTCTGGTTTGAACCTGTGCATGTTTTGTGTCTACTCTCACAGTCTCTGTAAGTTCATGTGTACATCCGTCCTGTTGTGTCTGGATGAGACCATTCCATGGTCCACCACGTCTGACTCTTACGGTCTTTCCACCTCCTCTTCTGCAATGATCTCGGAGCCTTGAGGGGAGGAATGATGAAGACAACCTCTCTGGGACAAGTGCTCCAAAGTCTCTCACTGTTTGTCCAGCTGTGGGTCTCTGTGTTAATTATCATCTATTGCAAGAAGCAGCTTCTCTGATAAGGGCATTTTTTGAATGGCCTTAAATTATAATCTTAAATCAGGAGTGGGCTGGCAAGATGGTTCAGTAGGTAGAACACTTGCTGAGCAGGGCTGACAACTTCTATCCAATCCCTGGAAGCCAGAGTCAGAGGAGAGAACTGACTCTGGAAAGTTGTTCTCTGACCTCCACACACACACTGTAGCATGGCTATGATCACACTCACACATTATACACACACCCACACAATAATAGTACATAAAATATTAAGAAACATTACATAATCAGGAGTGAGGTACTGACATTTATCTCCTCTCTCTCTCTCTCTCTCTCTCTCTGTTTTCAGTGTGTATAAGTCAGTGGTTTTTACTGTATCCACAGAGATATACAACCATTGTCATGGTATGATTTGAAACATTCCTGTCAAGGCCAAAATATGTCCTTCATCCCTTAGCAATCAGTCCCTATTCCTACTGTGGTCCCAGGTAGCTGCCACTCACTCATTCTAGGTCTGGCTTCTGTCCCCAAACGTGATGTCTGGAGGGTCAGCAAACCTCAACCCTTGGCGCCGTAGTCTTGTTCCACTTGCACCATGTGATGCTCTTCACCAGCCAGTGGATCTTTGGGTGTTCTCATAGTGCTTAAAGGTTTAAATAAAGGGATGGGTGCGTGGCTCAGTGGTGGAGCTCTTGCCTATCATGCACAAGGTCCTGAGTTCGGTTCCTCGAGTTGAGGAAGCCAATGAAAGGGTTAAATATGATACAAAGCGAAAGTGGTAAGATTAGTGAGTATCAGATCATCTTCTTTTAAATTTATTTTATGTGTGTGGTGGTTTGAATGAGAAGAACATCGGGTTTTCTGCTCTCCTGCTCCACCTTCCTTCCTTGATACAGGTGTGTGTTGGATAGTTTCATATAACTTGACCCAAGCTATATATAGTCATCTGAGATGAGGGACCCTCAACTGAGAGAATGCCTCCTGAAGATCCAGCTGGAGGGAAGCCTGCAGGACATTTCCTTCCTTCCTTCCTTCCTTCCTTCCTTCCTTCCTTCCTTCCTTCCTTCCTTCCTTCCTTCCTTCCTTCCTTCC